TGTTACTGCATGAATTATCTGTGTTAGGCAATGTAAATCACATAGCAAGGGATGGTTATGCCCCCAACAGCCTAGTGTCTATATGGGTATGACAGACATATAATGCTGTAGCCTAAAAAAGGTTAATGCAGTCTTTGTATGTACAAACAGAACCATTCCAAGCTGGCTGCATGGTGTTGCATTGCCTCTGTACTGGGCTCCAGTGTGATTGCTATCAGAATATTATGCCATAAGCATTAGTGTGGCATGTACCTACTCCATCATCCATCCTTAGTGTTGTTTGTTTGTCTGATTGGCTCACACTCTTAATCTGACATTTAGAAGTGACTCATGTCCAAGATAAGTTGGGACACCCTGTACCTAATTCTTCATCTTCAGATCACACCCAGACTCCGGCCAAATCTTAAAAATCTTGCTGAATAAGAGCTCAGATTAGGGCCTCTCCTATTCATCTTTGTAGATAAAACCTGTATCCAGGCTCTAGTGACCTTGAATCTCTGCAGTATCCTTTTCTAAAAATGCAGTTTCTCCCTGTTCATGCTCAACTGGAATGCAGCTGCAGAGATCACTCTCTGGCTTGTCACTTAGGCCAGATTGTCCCTGCCTCTTTAATCATCCCTCTAGTTTCATTTCTGCATCAGATCAAACAGAAGCTTCTTGTCTTTACTTGCGTGGCCTATAGTGACCTATTCCCTCCGTTTTTCCTCTCTTATTCTCCAGTGACATATCAGCTCATCCTTTCCGTCTGCAGGTATCTATGTTCAATCTTCAAGCACTTATGTTTCCTTTTTGTGCTGCCTTTGTCCTTTCCTCAGAAGCATCCCATTAAACTTCTCTCAAACTCCCTCCGGATCCTCTTTCAAATTCTTCCTTAACCTTTTCCTTGGCTGGGCTGTCTGCAGATTACTAGTCAATAGTAAAACATTTAGAGTGCTGAGACCACAGTTTTCCTTGCTGACCAGGCTTTTCCACAATCAGAGCATCAGAGTGGCGGTATAAGCAAAAAATATGTAATAATAGAAATAAAATAACAAGAAGTTAGAACATGGCATCATGTAAGTTTCCCCTCTCAAATTGGATTTGCAGTATTGCTTATGCTACAGAGGACAGTAAATGAGGTTTCTGAATGAAGTATAGGAGCTGATGTTCCCTTTCAGCTACTGAAGTTTTCCCGATGACCCACTGAGTAATGATGGCATTTCCAGTGGTTTCAACAGGGAAGCCTCTGTGGGCACCTCTAACTGTCCCCCCAAGGTAAAACTAACACGTGGCAGCAAGGCTGTGATGAAGGAAGGTCACAGCCAAGGCTATGAACCTCTTTCATGCAACATGGGAGGACTCCAGTCTCCCAGGCATGCTGCCAATGTATCACCTTCTAATTTTGCCGAAATTATCTTGGACCAGGACATAAAAAGGACTGGAGGGGCCAAAGAAGAATGCTGAAATGACATAGTCTCATCTTCATGCAGTTTAGTACTAATTTTGTCCTGTGTCTTTAAGGTGCCTTTTAAGTGCTATTTGTCTCTGTGGGAAGCAAATGGGTCACGTTGTTCTGTGTTTCTACTGTAATACGCTGCCTGCTATTTTTCTTTTAGATTATTTGTGTAATCTTTTTTTATGCAATCTGTTTGTTCTTGAGTCTTGCAAGCTTTGCCTTTGCTACTTCTTTCTCAATAAGCAGTGCAACTTGTTCTGTATCCACTCATGGGTATTCTGCACACAACGGGCTGAGTTATTTCACCCAGTGTGAAAATATTAAAATGGGAAACATGTGTGGGCACTTAATTGTGGTGAATCCAACCACAAATACCTTTGCCGTTGGTAACTGGCACACAGGAAAAGCAGACCTTTGTTTTGTTTTTATCAGACATAATGATAGATGCATTGTTTCTGGTGGGGTTTTTCTGGTTTTCTAAGGAAATGAGGCTTGTGCAATCACACTGCCTGTGTGCATGTGCCTATCTTGTTTGTCAGTTCCTCCCTCACCAACAGCTCTTGAAACTAATAGCCATTTTCAGCCAAACTTGAGTAAGACATGGGAGTCGGGAGAAGCAACCTGGCTTTACAGAAGACTTGTGAGTTCACAGGTTGCACCAAAGTCTGCAGAAGTTGCTGTCTTTAACAGCTGCATTGCTGCAAACCATCAGTTGTGTATTCACACGTGTGCCTTTGCATGGATCCAGAAGCCCAACTGTAAGCTCCCAGATTTGAATATTTTGGTTTACTTGCTCTTATCCTTCGGGCGACTGAGTCAGTTGGTGGTGTTGCTAGGCACAGAGCTTGTGTTTTGATTCTCACTGGAGTGGCCATGTCTCATGAAAAACATTGTTTGCTCCAGGCCACAGCACTACAATTTGCATATAAACTTATGAAAAAGGAAGCTTTCTTTAAGCTTTCCTGTGTGAGGGTTTACAGTAGCATTTCTGTCTGTGTACATAACAGCAGAAGCTGAGCTTCTCATAAATGTAGATGGGTTAAGTCTGTCGCTGCCTGAATGGGAATCTTCTGTGGAAAAACCCAGAAAGAGGAAGGAAAGCCTAAGGAAATACCAACTTCAAGGGGAGAAGTTGGCTAAGATCTGTGTTATGCTGCTCTTTGGTTTGTACCTGGCCACCAGCAGTGAAGCTGGGGAATGCCTGAGAGGTGTGCAGGAATGTAGCCTCAGGGCACCTTTCGGAGGCAGAGAAGATGTCTTTATGCCCTTCGCTCAAAGGGAGGACAGAGGTACAAAGGTGCTGATTGGTTTGCCAGGGATTACAGGAGTACATGCCTAAGCTAGGAAACAGACCATGATTTCCTGATGTGAGAAGTGCAGCCAGAAGTACGATCTACGTATAGACAGCTTCTGCAGCGAGTGCCTTGGTCAAGGGGGACATAAACACTGAAGTATGTGAGAGTGGCTAAATTATGAATGTGAGGAGGAGGGAAGAAAAGATTCCCACATGTTCTGCTCAGATGTTAAGAAAGAAAGCTGAGAAGTGTTTGCATAGACACTGCATTATTCTGTGTCCAAATGCCTCATAAAAATAATACCGGATGATCACAGAATGGCACACCAGGGAAAATAAATTCTTCAGCGGAATATTCCCGCTGGAAAAACACTGTGTAAAGTAATACACTAATAGCTTTCAATTTCATGTTTTATATATGGAGATATTAACTGCTCCCCAGACGTCTCTTCATATTACAGCCCCGCTACACCAGCAGTTTGGAGAAGGCCCTGGAGCAACTCGCTCTTGTCCGCACAGAGGACCGAGCAGTGCTCTCCTGTTGTACCTGCAACTCCTGTTTCTTCTGCCTCTTTCCCGTAGAAGTACTGCTCCAATGGTCCTCTCCAGTAGGATTTTTATTTTCTTTTCTTTTTCTTAGTTCTCATGTTTTTTTCCATTCTTCCCCCGTGTTCTGTAGCCTCATCACCATGCTGGGAAGCCTGCATTCCTTCTCTGCTTGTAAAAGAGGAGCCCTCACAAGAAGCATTGCAGTGGAGTGATTAAAGCACAGCACTGTCAAAACACTAATAACAAATGCTAAATAAATTAAAGCTTAAAAACAACACCTATTAATTCCCATTTGGAGGTAGTTCCACACTTGTCTTCATTTGCCTGGTAACTCTCTCCACATTGCTCAGACAAGGTATCTATAGGATCTTGCCACGTAGGAAAGCAGCTCATATGTTGTTCCCTGGGAATAGCCTGCTCAAGGCTGGGGCAGGCAGGGAAGAAGGTGTGAGGACGTGTGTGCTGGAAGATGGCCCACTGCTCAGAAGCCCTGTGGTTGGAACGATAGGACTGGTGCAAGACCCTTTAGGAAGTTTTGCAGTATTTGTTTGGAAAAGTCAATAAGCACAGGCTGCAGTGTGAAATAACATTGTATCATTGCTGGATTACTTAATCATTACTAGGTACATATTGCTTGTGTGTGTTTTTATGAGTAATTCTGTCTGTCTGCTCTCTCATGAGCTCTGGTCTTCCTTCCATCCTTCTCACTTTTCATCATCCACTCTACCCCACCCACTGAGGAGGGGTGCAGGGTCCCATGGCTGCAGGCTCTGCTACATAATGTTTAACTTGATGCTGAAAACAAGGCAGCAAGCCTCCTATGTGTGCTCCTGCAGGTTTTTTCTGTTATGTTTTTGTTTGCATGTTGCACTAGGGACCTTTCTCAGAAACAACTAGCCTTCTTAGGACTTGCCTTTACCCTTGTTAGTAGCTTCTGATATGCTTTTCTTGAATTATGATAAGAATCAAGTATTTGCACATCAGTTTCTTGAGAAATGGCTTTAGTCTTTGAATAGATAGCATCTTAGTCAATATTAAACACAAAAAAGTCACTTTTCCACATAGAAGATGGTATTGCAGACTTTGTAATCACTAAGACTGGCTACTACTTTTTGTTTAAAATACAAACTAGCTCAGCACCAGACATTAACAAGAGCATAAGGATTGATACTGCTATGTTGGTAAAAGCATAAAAAGTGAAATCCTTTTGCCAGTATAATTGGCTCTACTGAGACAATTGGTTTAAGCTGGACAAGCAAAAAGGACTCTTTAAATGGTAAAAATTGTGCTGCCACCAGGCAGCTTGATGAGGCATCCTACCACAAAATCCTTTCATGTGGAGGCAAGGCTTTCAGCACAGGTTCATGCCATCTAGCTGAGTAGCTGAGAGTGACTATATAGCTGTGTTAAATGGTAAGTGAATGCTTTGCACCTGGGACTTAGGCTCCTTATGATGGTTGCTAGCTAGAAGTGCCAGCAGTAAGGATTTCAGTGCAGTTTTGGGGGCCAGTTTCAAGCTTCTCTAGATCATTCCATGAGGAGTAGCACTGGAGTGTGTTTCAGTGTGCTGGATCATTGCCAGCAGTGGCATCAGTTGCCCCTGTGCTGGCTGAGCTGTCGTGTTCCTGCTGCCTACTGTGCGATGGAAGCATACAGGAGTACTTTCTGCCCAACTAAAGATGGGAGCTTGCACTGACCCATGTTCCTTCCTTCTGGTGACAGGCCGCTGTGCTCGCTGTGGGGAGAATGTTGTTGGGGAAGGCACTGGCTGCACAGCCATGGACCAGGTCTTCCACGTGGAGTGCTTCACCTGCATGACGTGCAAAAGCAAGCTGAGGGGGAAGCCTTTCTACGCAGTAGAGAAGAAAGCCTACTGTGAACCCTGCTATATTGTAAGTACTTGTGGGTTTTTTTGTCTGCTAGTTTTTAACGTGCAGATATCACAAATACTTGTTTTCTTCATTGTTGTACTATTGCCTTATAGCCAAAACCAGGCAATCTCATGGCAAGCTGATGGGCACTAGTTTTCCGTGGTCTTCAGAGGAATTCAGATCTCTTCAGTTTCCTTTGTTAACTTAATTTTCTGTTCTGTCCAAGCTGTGAAATGAAGTGGCCAGAGCAAGAGAAATAGGTGCTTTTGGTGATGATTTGAGCTCTGAAAGGAGCAGGCAATGCAGTGATTTTTAAGAGATGGTGTTATTCTAATAAGGTTTTTTGTGTTCAGAAATCTGTTATCAAAACCCTTAGAAATGTTGGTGCCCACTAAAACGTAGAAGATGAGATTCAAGGTAGCATTTAAACTTCTGAAATAGTGACTTTTGTGTTTTTTAATGAAGCTAATGGAAGTCTTTCCACTGAATTAACAGCAGTTGGATTGGGTATCTTTTGAAGCTTACCTTATCCTAAAATTTCACTTTATGCCTCCAACGAGCTCTTAAATCAAACAATTAACTGCACCTTTTAAGAGGCTCCCATAAGAGACAGTTAAAACCTGTTGTACAGTTGTAAATTAAAGAAACATCACATAACGTGCCTGAGGCCTTACCTTGCTGTGACCTTAACATACAGTATGTTGGGAAAATGTCTATAATCTAGAATAAGAAAAGTTCCAGAACATTTTTAACACATTGATGGATCTTCCTTTAAACCTCAGAATTAGAGTCCTTTTTATAAACTATTGATTTTCTTGCCCACTGTTAAATGAAGCTTATTTTAAACTGAAATCTAGTTTAAAGTTGGTAACTACAGCATGCAAGTTCTTCCTCTATGTATTTTCCTGCAAGATTTTGTGAAAGCCAGTGTGCCACCAGTATGCTGCATAACATCTTTTATTTACACAGATGGTGGAGTTTTGTTTGTTTGTTCTTGGGGGGATGAAATGGACTGAGGACCTTCCATAATTAGACCTAATTTTTGAAAGCAGAAATTTCTGGTATGCTGATAATTAAAGAAAGAATAGATACTTCTGAAAATGCTACTGCTATCTATTTTATTCTATTTCTGTGAAGGCTTTTCAGTGGGATTACTGCTGAAATACTGAATATAGAATGGGCAGAATTAGTCTTTTTGTAGCAGTGATAAGTGAGTCATGGTAATTGACTTTTAAAACCTAAATGATTTTTTTTATTGAAAAATATACCCCTTAAATATTGTTTTCTTTTTTTTCTTCTTCTTTTTCTTCTTTTTTTTTTTTTTTTTTTGTTAGCACTGGAATGATTGTATGATAAAAATTCTGGTATCTTAGGAAGTTGGTGCCCATGTGCAAAGCACTGCAGATTTCAGGAAGGTGTGTTCGTAATGCGAGGGGAGCATCTTCATACAACAAGTTAAACATCTCATTCACTTCAGGATGGAATTGACTTCATCTGCTTGCTGATTGATGCTTTTCCTCTTTTTTAAATCAAGCAGGCATTCTTCACTACTCATCTGCGTTAGTTTGGGAAAACATCTGCATTAGCCACTGTAGTAATGGCTTAAGATTATTTAATCCCATTACTTATACACTTCATTAGCCTGAGTGAATTGTTGGCAAGGATTCAGTAAACTTCCTACATTGGGAGATAAAAGGATAAAAAAAAAAAAAAAAAAAAGGAAGAAGGATTCTGTTCCTCATTTTCTTTCAAATTTATCTTCTATCTATTTAGGGGATAAAGGAATGATAATTGCCTGGTTGCATCTGTGTTTGTATGTTCCACGATACGGCTTTGCAGTTCTGAGTACAGAGCAATGAGTAAACATTTAATAGCTTTCTCTTATATAATCGGAGGGGGCCTTTAAATGCTTAACAACGCAATCCACAAAAAAAAAAAAAAAGGTTATGGACTTAACCCAAAACACTTCTGAATCCATCTGCTGCTGCACATGTAGGGGAAAGGGTGGCCCTACTGATAAGTTGCTACATATGTGTAGCTTGACAGCTAGTACTGTGAGTAGGGAAGGAAAGGAGGAATCTGGCAATCTGATGGAACAAGAGTAAATAACCCAAGCAAACAACAGACTATTACTCCTGGAAGAAGCAAGTGTTGGGTGACTGTGTTGTTACCCCTCAGACAGCTCAGTGCTTTGCTTTGCTGAAGGTCAGATCTGTGAAGGGTTTGGACCCTGCCTATTTAGGCTCAAAGAAATCTGTGTCGGAGTTCTGTCTGATTGATTTTTCAATGAAATGATGTCTGTGTTGGTTTCAGTGGGATGATGAGTGCCTGAGTACACTGAGGGCCCGGACTAAGTTTGCAGGTTGCTCTTGCAAATGGACTTGGGGCCCTTAAATTGCTGGGGCACGGTCTGAATGCTGTTGTTTTCAGATGTGTGATATTGTCATACTGGAGCCAATTAGAGTTAATCACCTGCCTAAAATGTAACTTGCGTTTAAGGATTTTGCTTCTAATTTGTTTTTTTTTTTTTTGAGTTTTCTCAAGTCTCACTCTCAGAAAATAACTTGGAAATGTAGAGCTCTGTATAAAATAATGGGGTTAAGATCCCAGACTCAAGTTCCTGTGGGCCTGAATCCCCATGGAACATAGGAAATGCATGACTGCCTTGAGACAGTGCAGTGAGCCAGTGGCTGTGGCCAGCTCTGGAAACAGGATTCTCAGTTGGTATACATCTGAGTTAATTGATGATGCTTATTTACTGGTCTGCCTAATTCATACCAATTTCTACCCCGCATCTCTACCTCCACATGTTCAAAACTCTTGACCTGTTGTGCAGACCACTAGGCCAAGCTGCTGCATTAATATTAAGGGAAGTCAGCTCCAATTAATTTGCCTGGTCTTCGTGTATAAATTCATGAATTCTTGTTTTTAATAATTCCCTTGTGTGACTCATGGCCATACGCACATTGAAAAACAATGCAAAAATAAAAATACAGTTTTTTGTCAACAATTAGAATTGGCTAATCTTCTTAGTTTTCTACATGACTCTCCTTAGATGTGGTGGAGTGAAGACATAATTAAGATTACTGTGAAGAGCTGTGTTTAATTACTATTTAGTCAATACCAGGCTTAAATAGCCTGCAGAAAGTGTTGTTTTTTGCTTTTGTTTCTGATGTCATTAGTGATCCATTAAAGAAGAAATTCTGCAAAAGTCTGTGAATTAATATCAAAGGAAGTCAGTCACCTGTCTGAAGATGTTTACTAACTGGAATTTGAATACCAGAGTTCATTTCTTTCACAAAAAAAAATTTCCCTACCCAAAGGCTGGTCACTATCATTTCCTTATGAATGCTGTGAGATCTGCTGCCAATGCATTTGCTGGTTTTGCTCTACATCCAAGGATTCTTTCATTATTAATGTTATTTCTAAAAGAGTACCAGTCTTCTCCATTAAAACACTTCTGCTCCTGCTCAACTAAAAGCAACTGTAAAAAAAATAAAGTGTCAATAGGAAGCAGATGTCTCCTAGTCATTAGGACAGTCAAGCAACATCTGAAATATCACAATGGGGTTTCCATTGTAACCAGCTCACTGCTTTACATGTGATGGATACAGTGTGTGTAATATGTTATCAGTATACTTTTCCCCTCCCTACAGGACAAATTACTGACAAAAAAACAAAAACATTTGGTTTGCTTCCTCTAAGAAGCTGAAGAGATTTTAGCACTGGGTTCAGTGTAGAGAAAAGGTTAAGAGTAATATCAGTGGAACTGTTGTTATAAAAGATTGAAGAGCACAATGTTAGAGCAGTGCCAGCTGTCCACTTTCCAAATACAGTATTATCATAAGGACTGAACACAAGGTTAACCAGACACACCAGTTTGGCAAGGGAGATGCTGCTGTTTTGTGAATGGGGTGTTCTCTGGTGTCCTGCTGACTTTCTCCAGGACATGGAAATTTCCTTCTGCTCTTTATCCCCTTTCCTGGCGGTTCGGTGTTTGACAGTGGGAGATAAACTCTCTGTGAAGTTGAGGGCTGAGAGGTGCTGAGCACCTGCACTTAGCACAGAAAGCAGCAAGATCTGGCAGATGTTCCTGGTGACTTAATTTCTTCTGCCACATCTGAGTCAATGCAACCCACTGCTGGACCTGAGGGAAGTGTCACAGTGTGAAGGAGATGAGGAAGCAGAAATAGCCGTGGTCAGATGAAAAGGAGTTCAGAGAAGTTGTGGGCTGAAAATGAGGAGCGATTGAAGGAGGAAGAAACCGTGACTCATGCCTGTGTGCCTAAAGCAGGAGAACACAGAGGGTTTGCTCTGCAATTTCATTTGGAAACCCAGGGAAGGAGATTCACTGTTTCTGTGGCACAGTGAGAGATACTGAGAGTATAACCTTTAACCCAGCCCCCAAAGATCACTTTATGAGGTTCATCTTTCCCTGGCAGTGAAATGGTGGGAGTGCTTGAAAGGGTCAGAATTTTGCATGACCTACCACCCTGACCACAGCTGTTCCCCAGCTTTAAACACAAGATTGTAGCACTCCACTTCTTTCACTAGTTGTGTATTTTTGCACACAGAAGAAGTAGTAAGAGGCAGAAACCTTGAAAATATTAACTTTAGCTTTCTGATCTATCAAAAGTGTAGTTCAGTAGAAGAGTGGATATTAGGGGGAACATCTCCAAAAGAGTGGTTGGGCACTGGCACAGGCTGCCCAGGGAGGTGGTGGAGTCACTGTTCAAGGTGTTCAAGAACCATGGAGATGTGGCACTGAGGGATGTGGTCAGTGGGGGTGGGTTGGGTTGGGCTTAGATGATCTTAGTGGTCTTTTCCAACTTTCATGATTCTATGAAATGCTGATATTTCAGGAAATAGGAAACTACAGCCGGTGGAACCACTGAGTATGCTGGAAAAACTTAAATTTGCTGATCATTGGGCAGTTTCAGTGTTAAATCAATTTGTGCTCATGGAAGTCTTTGGTAAATACTGCAACTGGCTTTAGTGGATCTGGTTGGTGCTGTGAACCT